CCGCCCCAAAACCAAAAATAAGGTATATGGCGATTTAGCTTTACTAGAGGAAGGAAAACTAAGGTTTGGCCCTTCCGTGCATTAATTGATTCAGACACGAACGGGCACCCGAGTAGAGCCACCGACCTTCCTTAAGCTAGCTGTATAGCTTCCTCACATGAAAGCATCCAAATTCCATTTCGGGATTCTAACCCACAGTGGTGAGTGGCAAGTTGTTTGAAGACAACGACCTTAACCACTCGGCTAAGGATATCCCCCACAAATTCTAAAGGGTTAAGTATCATGATAAATGACTTTTTCCAGATTGAAAAAAGTCCAGTGATTTTTTCACTTTGTATGTGAAGAAGATGTTTAGTTGCTGTTGATGACATTTAGATAGTTATTGATCTTTAAAAACTAAAAAATAAAGAAAAACAGGAAAATGGCAAACAATGTCATAATGTATATTTTACTGTTTAATGTAAAGTTATTCAATTTACAAGTAAGTTATAATTTAAGGCACATTTGTTACTATCTGACAAATATATTCACGACAGTGCGTGTAATTTGTAAGAAATAAACTAATATATACAATAATAATAGAACATTATCCACGTCAGCAAACTTTGTCACGTTTATTATGATTTTATTGTAATTTTATTACACTTTTATATCATTTTTATTTCATATTTATTTCCCCACTTTCATACTAAGTGTTGTGACCAATGTTACTTTAATATATCCTGTTCAAAACGTTATATCTACACATATCATCAGCGTAATGTAACGTAACTATATCTATACTTTAATATTAAGCAAAATATTTCTGTTTATTGTTTGAAAGGCCCACTTTGCCATGGAAATGATTTAATGTTTATTTCTCAAAGTTTTGTTTTTGTTTTAATTATTGGTGCCCTATTTAAGATTCCAAAAAAGTGACTCATTATCTGAAACATATTTTGCAATTATTTTTTTTTTTGCAATTAGTACAGTTATAGTGATTAAGTATCTTGTTAGGAAGTCAAAATATTATTTTGTTAATATTTTGTTACTTTAATGACAAAAAATTACAAGTTCAGCCTTACTTTCTTCAGATAATAAGCATCTAATATGCTCTTAAACCATTATTTACACCTTATGAAATTATTGTTTGCTGGTCCTTAAGAAAGGATATTTTATTAGCATCTGAGACATAATGTGCCTTTTAGCGCTTCATGTATATTTAACGAAAATGTAAGTGTAATGTTATTCTCAATATTTTTATACATAATGCATATTCATAAAGCACATTTTTATCCCTTTATGTTTTGAAATGCATTATGAATTGTCGGCGTAATTCTATCGTTACTATTTTTATACGATATGCTCTGAGAAGAAATTTATTTGTATAAAGTATAGTGAAATCGTAAATTGTTTTATTGCTTTAATTGTATGTAATGCAATTGGCAGCATGGTGCAATTGCAATTCAATCTATAATTTGCAATATCATAAATATTGAAGAAGTGAACGTCGTTTAAATTTTAAACTTTTAAATGCAAATATATACTGGATAGCTTTTACATTAGACACTTGATAGAAAATACTATGGAGACAGTAAGTTTCTGTCAAGTAATGGATATGGCAGTAAAAAAAGTTTTAATCTAGAGTAAGCGTTTGATTACGTTGAGCAATAAAGGCGGGAAAATAACTAGGTCAACTGTGCAGTCTCTCCAAAAGCATATAAAGAGACAGTAATATTTATTACAGTCGGTCAATATGTTCGTTATTATCGATCACTAGACTTCAGGGCATCACCTAGCTTCACACGTGACAGTACCCCACACAGCAATGAAAATGTTTCGCTCGTTAGGCCTTTGATTACGATTTAACACTATTTAACACTTAACCTATTGAAATTATGACATGGATTTGCCCTGCTTTGAATTCGGAACAGGCCATGCGAAGTTTAAGGGATGTCAAAATCAAAATATTTAAAATGAGTTATAAAATTAATGAAATGAAAAACTAAAATTGAAATCATGAAGATGAAATCGGTATTTCGTAACATTGAAATCATGAACAAAAATTGTGAATTCATGAACATAAAATCTTGAATTCGTGAATGTCAAATCATAAATTAAGTGAAATTGTTATCATATATTCATAAAGTTAAAGTGCCACAACCGACATTTGGTACTTATCAATCGCATGCATTGCTCACTTGATTTACAACACGACATTGCTAATTAACACTTGTCCTTTCATGTTAACACTTGACTGTTGCAAAAATTACAAAATTGTACGCTCTTTGTAGTTTGACAAGCGATTTGTTGGCATTTATAAGGGTCAGCCGTCGAGTAACGATTTAGTTTTTTGTTTTCTTTGAGACATAATACATTGTCTGACCATTTTTTTTATTTATCAATTATGTCTGAATTATCATTTTTCTTTCATATCGTTTTTCTTTTGTTGTTTTTGTCTCTATGTAATTATGTACATTTTTCTGCTTCAATTGGATTAGTCTTTGTGTTTTCAGTTTATTTATATTTGGCTATCTATTTCTGTTGTTGTTATTGTTGTTATTAGAGATTGTTGGTCTCCAATTGTAGTGTACTTTCAAGCGTTAACTGTTTAGTGAAATAATTATGTGTAGTAAATTATTATTGAAGTGTTTGCCTGATAGTTCGGGTATATGCTTCTTAATCAAATGTTCGTTGGGTGCGATCACTAACAGTGTGCCGGCCATGTTTCTTCACTTGAATTTGCACATGCAATGGTAAGTTCGAAACAAGCGGGCTCGAGATTGGTTCCAATAAGCAATAAGAAATATTTTTAAAGACTGTATAACGCTTCAAATTCGCGATGTCAACATTTCGTGTTTGTTTTTTACCTAAACGCGCATTTTTCTTAATTCAGGCATTCATGAAATCACGTCATCATCTCATTCGAAAATGAGAATGTTGCTATATTAAATAAGATGTTGCAAGTTCGGTCTTATGAATTACGTAAGGTAATTATGCATTCACAAAATCATTGATTCGTGAATATACACGAAAATTAATCTGCCGCGAATAAAACCAGTTCTACAGTATTTTTAAGTTATCATTTTGTACATTAAGTTTTTATGATCATGCAAAAATAAACATGTATTTATTTAGACTTAATGTTTGTTTTTTATGATACAATTTAACATAATCTCTTTTTATGCTAGACCTCTTCTTTTCTTTCAATATTTTCTTATTATTACACATTATACATTAGTACATCAGAAATAGATAAATTTGTTCTTCTTTGGAAAAAGCAAACATGTGTTTTATAACATTTAAATAATGTTTAAAAGCATGTTAGATGCTTATTACTTGAAGCAAGTAGAACTTGTGTGAAATTATTTGTCATAATAATGGTAAAATCTAGTAAAATCTAAACACCGTAGTATTTTGACTTCCATACTTAAATTGTACTAATGTCCAGAAAGCAACAGAAGCAAAAGATAGTTCAAGTAATTGGCCAATTAGTGTTTCTTTTGGAAACAATAACAGCGCATAAAAAATAAAAAGCTTTTGAGAAATAAAAAAAATAAACCTTATCTGGGACATATTGGGCCCTTAATATATAACGTTCATCTTGACGAAGATTTGCTCTCTAAATAATCATTCATTGTCCATTCTCATTAAACATCTCTAGCGATTTTCAGATGTAATTTTCAGATAATGCAATGTCTTACGCTGATTCCATTAAAAGCTTTTTTCCCCGAGTGTAACTTTTAACAAGTGAAGGACCTACTTTTTTGTCTGACTAAAAAGCTACATTTATTTTTAAAAATACAAGTGCAATTATCTCTATACAACAAAGATATTATTTCATCCCAAAGTCAGAACAATTCATGATAATTGTATCTAGATTTAGAGCAAAACCCCCTTCAGGAACAAAGGGTGCTGTGTTGCAGAACATGCAATATACTTCTTATTTTTTACCCTATCCTGAAACTTAAGTGATTCTTATTCTTTATTTCTGTTACACCGAATTAACACAGTTAGAGGTTGTAGCGTTTTCTTGTCGATTCTTAAACTTAAATGTTTTTCCCTGTTTTTTTTACATCAAATTAACACGAACATAAGAATACAAGTAGAAAATTGTTGTTAAAAAGGAACACAAAACTATTATACAACGGTCATAACACAGGAAAAAAATAGAGAATACAAAATGGTTTCATTTTTACGTTTTTACATAAAACTGCGTCTATATGTAGTTTTGTTTTGCTGCTAACAATGTGACGTCATCATATGACGTAATGACTGGATCAATTAAGGTTTACCTGTAACATATTTCCACTGCAACACGCATCTATCGCAATAAACCCCGTCGGGTACCTCTACAGTTAACGGAATAATTCCAGCACGGTCCACATAATATGCGAATTGGTCACCTTGGTTACGACCTTCACTTATCTTTAACAAATGTTTATCAAAACATGCCTTCGTCTCAGCAGTTCCATTTGTAACACAAAGATGAAACTCAAAATATCCACTTTGGTCAGAATTTAGTAATATTTTAACATATATATTCCTTTGACCTTTGTCAATGACATCAGCAATGGCTCCGGTGGCATATTTCCCGCCAGATTCATGTTTTCGTACTCCGTTAAATGGATCTCCGCACAATCCGCATTTTCCATTGTTTTGTTTCAACCTCTGAAATAGTGAAATATATAATATAAGTACAAATACAAATAAGAGTGAGAAACGTCCAAAGAACAAAGCCGGGCAACATCAAATGACGTAGGACAACTTGGGAGGCATCAAATATGTCACTGACCAGAATTGGGGCATAAGACGGTGTGGACAGAGGAAGGCATAATTGGTGGGGTATTTCATTAACAATTGCAATTAACAAAGATAAAGCGAATTTTGAATGCCAATACGATAATAAAATGAAAAAGTTGTTACCAATATTTTTTGAATCTGCCAAAGACTTTAACAGTTTTGCCCAAGAAGGTTTTTATCAAAATATGTACCAATGCAAGAAATGTCTGTACATGCATTTAGATATATGTTAAAAATCAAATGAACACATGATGTGTTTGTCGGAATTCATTCTTGTAAAAATTTTTAATGAATTATAACTCTTCTTCTCCTCTGCAATAAGTACATGTATGTCAACAGTACGAATTTATTACATTATTCCAGTTTGTTCACCCTAACCACCAAAAAATCTTTAATAAATCTATCCATCTTTAAATATGGACAAAACCATTTATCATTTTTGACAAAATTTCAAAATAAGTACTGATTAAGATTTGTTACCGCCTTCCGACCAAAGGTTAATATATATGATTTCAATGTACGTGCACATTTGTTATTTTGATTTCTAAATACCATTTAAAAACTTGGTCGTATATCAGTGAAGAAAATTGCGGTTAAAAAAGCAATTTTTCTAAAACGACAAAAACACGTGAGTATTAATTATCAATTATACACCGTCTGACAAAATATGTCATTTACCTTGAGGCCTTATTGATATACAGAACATGTCCGAATCTAGCTAAGGGAAGCTATTATACATTATAAATGCAAGGTAAGTATATAAGTAATAAAATTACATACACTTAACAACATTTATGTCCTTTGTGAGAAAAAATATGCTAATATGACGTTATGTTGCATGAATAACAAGTTTATCGTAACATTAGATATAGATATAATGGTAAAACGCTTCACTACAATAAACTTTAAACTCCGCTTATAACAAAAACGCTTATATCGATATACCGCTTATAACGATGCTTTTGCCCCAGTTTCAGATTGGTTGTTTCTCGGATATAACGATATCCGGGTATGACAATAAAAATTCGGCGGTGTCCTGACTATCATTATAAGCGGAGTTTTAATGTGTGTACTATGTATTATTGAAATTCTAAAACATTAATGATATTTTATACTTAGTAAATATAACATACATTATTTTAAATTCTAATTTTTTATTATGAAAATGAAAGGCTATTCTGAAAAATGAAATGCACATCTATTAGCTATATGAAAATCAGTAAAGATGTATTGACTCTGTTGACACCGAATCTTAATGATATTTTAAATAATGACGTGTTAAAATTTGACCTTTGGAAACCATTTCTGATTTATTGTCCTAATATATAAACACATTAATTACCTTTTGAGAATTATATAAAGATATAATTTTGTTTACGATCTTGGTTAATGTTTTAAAGTCAATTGATATATAAAGGAAGGTCTGTAATACCTGAAATAATTATGTTGATATTATTTAGTATCATGCGTGAGAATGTATGTGTGTAGTTTATGCTTATTGAGGGTCCATCCGCCCTTTTGGGCACAAAATGCATCTTTCGCTGTCGAGCACGGACCCCGGACATGTCACCAGTTATGCCCTTTAAGAGTTACTTTTGAAGCATAAAGTGGTGATAATTTACCTCCATGCAATTTCCACGGAGTATTAGCCAAACATATGAATGTTCAGTGACCTACTTTTGGCTTAAAATTCATATATTTGGCTAATACTCAAAACCACGAAATAATTATATATCGAAGTCCTTATGACAATTCTTACTACCTTCTCGAAGTGTGATAAAAGGCTGTCTTTGTAAACAAAAGAATTGAGCTGAACATAACCACATTAAGGTGAATTGATCAATAATAGAAAATCTGTAATAACATAAATGATTATGTTGATAATGTTAAGTATCATACGTGAAAACCAACCCACGAATTATATATATGGATGTTGTTTGTAAATATTAGATACATGACCCGATATGAAATACCTTTATATAGCAGATAATAAAGTGCTCTAGAACAAAATATTATTTTTTCATCATATTGAAGTCTATCAACATTTTGTTTTTCATAAACATTTCACAAAAATATTCAAATTGTACTTTTCTATTGTTTTTATCAATATTTGAAATACTTCTGGATAATATGTCCATTGTAGACCAATCCACTTTAATGACTGCATTTTGAAGGTTATTATTTAAGGAAAATAACAACATCACCACATGTCGTTTAAGTATTTATATAGTTATAAAAAGTTAAATTTATTGACAATTAAAATCATATAAAAAATAATATTTTAATAAACTCATTGTTAACCGTTTTTTGTTTGCATTTTTAAAGGCGCCAAATTATTGCTTTATTATATAAAAACTTTCTTCCTGCTTTGCTACTTATTTGATTTCTTTTGTTATAGAAAGACAAATTCATTAGCAGTTAAAGTCATATAAAAAAGAGTTATGTTTCCTTATTCGTTTCCTTTGTATTCCATTTTTACTTTTTTCATAAAGTCGGATTAAAGAGAGATTCTTCTGTTTAAGTATTTTCTTCCCCTTTCATTTCGTTTTGTTTTCAATTTCTTTTCGTTTTATCCCTATCTTTTCGTTTTTTATTTTGCGACAGAAAGGAAAAAATGAAAGTGATAAGTCATTATTTAATAATGTAAAAAAATATCTTTAGTCTTTTTTTCTATCATTTCTTTACTAAATGACATTTACTGATTGTTTTCATCAATTTCGTAATAAATTATCATTTCTTATTTTTTATGTTTAACTTACTTTATTTCACTGTATAATTTACTTTCACTTACTTTCACTGTATTATTTACTTATTACAAATCAAATATCTTTTTTATCCAGCCATATTCATTAAATTCTTATTTTTCAGATTACTTATCCGAATGTCTCATTTTTCTCAATCTGTTTTTCCAAAGATTACTTATTTGAATATCACATTTTTCCCATAGTCTTAGTTTTATTTCACATCAGGTACAAATACATTGATTTCCACAAATACCATAGATGAAGTTATCATTTGTTTCATTAATATCATGGAAAAATTTATATGTCTTCATTTTTATGATGTACACATGTTTTAACTAATATCAGTTTTAACTAATATCAGTTTTCACTATTTTGGAGAAATTCATTTGTTTCATTAATATCACGGTCAAATGTATTCTTGTCACTTAAATCATGGAAAAATAAATGTGTTTTCGCTAATTTCATCAAAAAATATTTTGTTATTATTAATTTTATCGATAAATTTATTCAGTTTCACTAATATCATGGGTCAATGTATTTATTGTTTCTAATTTTATGGATACAATTATTCGGTTTAATTTATATCATGGACAAATGTTTTGTTTTCACTGATATTTCAATCAACTGTCCATAATTTGTATCTTTTTACACGTCACTTCGTTCCCAGTAGTGATGTAATAATACATGTCATAATATCCCTGGTATGTACATGTTCATGCCCCAATATAAATGTCATAAACACCGTTTGCCCACAATAAATGATAGTAAATTTTATCACTTTCTTATTCAACAAAATACAAATTAATTATCATTTACTCGAATAATTTACATGCGATTTATCTAATTAAGGACATTTTTTGTATGGCAGTCATTTGATTTTCATTCTTTTTTGTATAATGCTTTTATTAAATTTTCTTCAATTTATGGATTTCATAAAATGACAAGCTATCAATATAAACACAATTATAAATGCATTATTTCTTATTAGATACAGCAAGACAGAGGTTAATTAGATTGATAAATTTGTTTTAGGAGGAATTTCTTTTGATATAAAACACCTTTTATGGATATTTTATACCGCCAAAAAGGTTACTGTCATGCAAAAAACATAGAAATATTGTGTTTCGCATTTAGAAAAAGTAGTTAGAACTAAATAAAACGAATAATAAGATAGTAAAAAACGTTATATAATAAAAACGACAAAAACTTTTAATAGTTTTAGGATCGACAGTATTAATATGATTCACAGAAAAGAATTTAATTGAGTAAAGTTGCGGCCGTAAAATCACGCCCTGTTATTTAAGATTTGAAGTGCATGTAGTTTGAGAATCGTCATTCACAAAAGAATAAACTTGAGTTACGTTGCGGCCGTAAAATCACGCCTTGCAATATCTATTTATAGCGCTATTGTATTTTGTACGGATGCTTACCCCTTACATATAAACTTTTAAATTATAATTTTAATTAATAAACGGTCTATCCGTGTTAATGTTGCCTTAAAATTTTGCCCCGTTTTAAAAATGCTTAGGTATATTTTTCCATGTTTTTTTTTCATTTAAAATCGATACTGGTCCCTTTTAAAAATTCAATGAACTGGTTAAAAACTCAAAAAGTACTGATGATTTAAATAATTTGTGGGGTGAAATTATTGATCATATATAGATTGTAAAATTTTTAAAATAAAATAAAAATGAAAATTTTTTTGTTTTTTTTTGTACGTTTCGAAAATTTATTGTTTTTTTTTCGGTTTTAAGATTCGCCCAAGACGATTCGACCCTACGGTCGCCCCCTTTAAATGACAAATTCCCTCATTCCGAAACCATTGATTTACGTTAGGTTTTGAATAAATAGTTATAAATTTGTAAACAAATCTAACTATTCAATCATGGGCATATTGGGTGGGGTTTTTTTGGGTTTTTTTTAATTGTTTTGTTTTTACTCTCCAAAACTTTGACCTTAAAGCAAATTGCATGTAATTGTTTTATAACATTTATATTACATACTTCTCGTGGGTGAAAAAAGTTATTGAACATGTACTGTTGTTGGTGTGAGCCTTTTTATAATACAAAGGCATGTGCCTTTTATAATACGAAAGTGTGTGCTTTTTTATAATACGAAAGTGTG